ATAAGTTTTTATTAAAAAAATTAAACTTTTTAATAAAAACACAGACAAATTTGCCTGTGTTACAATTTAAGGGATAACATATGAATTTTAACAAAACTACTGATAAAGAACGTTATACTCATTGCCTTTTTAAGTCCCATTCTTATCATGGGTTCGTATAGAGTAAGGAAAAGGGTTTAGACATTATTTGTATTATTCATAATATTCGTTAATAAAAAAATCGACTGTGAGAATTAATTCTGCATGAAGGTAATACTGAATAAAATTTAATGTGGCCATCTTAATCTCTATGATTAGACAAACCATCACAGAATGATCATGAAAAATTTTTATTAAATTTATATACACCATCATAGAACGATCACGAAAAGTTGCAGTTTAATACATGAGTAATTAGAAATATTCAGAAATTTAAAATTCTAAATTTTGCTCTTATTACAGAAATAAATTTATATATCAATAGTTGATACGTAGAATGTGGTTATATTAAAATAGCGCATATATGTATTTACAAAAACAAACCTGCTAAATATATCGAATTTTAGTTCTAAAAATTGAGATGCATGTTGATTGAGCATCTCACATAATGCTTGTGACTGAACAATCTAATTGGTTAGGATATACAAATATTTATGGCTTTTTGTTAAGCCACTACCTCTTGGCTAAAATAGCATATATATATTTATAGATAATTTGAAGCCTACAGTCTAAAATAATACGCTATTAATTACATTCTTTTTTAGGTAAACCAGTTTTATAAATCTTCACAGCCCCGAATTATATATGTATTAATCATGGAACTACTCTTGCATAGTTTTTTATAAAATATCTATTCTAAATTTGTAGATCTCAAAAGTGCTGTAAAATGATTACGGTATCAAATATAGCAATTTCATGTTGAATTATCATAGCGCCAAATGTAATTAATTACCAGATAGCCTGTTATTTATATCCGGATATGGTGTAATGAAATAGCCACATGCATTTATATATAAAACCCAATTTTTTCGATAATTTCACCTTGTACTAGATTGTCTTCATGTTGATAAGATGATTGCTCGAGTTATTTGCACAGGTTCGTGGAATTCAACAGAGCCATGATAGTCCTGTGCTTTAACGAAGGTGATTTGTCTGGTTCATAAAAATACACAATCTAACCATATCTTTAATATATAGTCGTCTCAGGATCTAACTATTACCTCTCTGCAATTTACTTCTTCTCCGATAGTCATACAAAAAATTTCATCTATAACTTTAGACAATAGGGCCTCTGACTATGCATAATCTTCTCAGGTGCAGTCATTACTTTTCAAAGTGGGCCTGGGATCTGACTGTTATCTCCCCACAATTTATTTTTTTCTTGCTTATAAAAACCAATTTTAGAGGGCGTGATTGTTATTATAATTGTCTGTGTGGTGAGGAGAAAAAGACTGAACGAGCTTCTTGCAGTTTAGTTCACTGAACTACAAGATAAGAAATAGTTTGAATATATCCACCTTGAAACTTAGATAAACACATAACATTTTTCTTTATCCTGGGTGTGATCGTCATCCTCGATGTGAAACGTGTATTAGGGAGAAGGTGATACAGACTTTCTAAACAACTAAATCACACCACAGAGAGTGATTGAATATATCCACCAGAAAAAATTATAAATAAAATTTAACCTTACCATACTGTTATCGATTAGTAAAGTTATATTCAACCTGAACTGGGTATGTATTGTATTTCAAATTTGTTAATTTATATTGAATCGCTTTTGTGTTGATAGAACAACCACCCAGGTTACTTGTTTATATATATGCATATTTATGCAAAAAATTTTGCTCAAGTTTTTACCTTTTGACGATAGAGCCTCTGACTTTGTATATTGTGTATTCAAAAGAGCATAATTATCATTGCTGTTGGCTCAGTACTTTGACTTTGGTAGTTTTTCAGTTTGCAAAAAAAAATAGACAAAATAAACTTACTCAGTTCACATAAAATATAATTTTAATCAATTTTTTATTTATTTTTATTTATTTTTTCTCTTGCTTCTTAATCAACTATAACAACTAACTTCAAGCGATAAAATTACAAGGTAGTAGTATGATCTCAAGAATGGTATTAGGAAAATGGTAGACAACTATTATAAATAAATTTATGCTAATATTTAATCAAAAAATATTAAGTCTATCTCTTTTGCATTTTTTCGCACAGAATCGAAATATACATCTGCAAAGTTGTCTAAACTAGTCCTGCTAGAAATATTAGGTATATTTGATTGATTGTTCCAGAGATTTTTAATCTTGGATGCACTTGTATTATGTTTATATATATATCTTGAAAGACCATCTATTAATGTAACTGGTTTTGGTGGCAATGGAGGAGGAGACAATGAACTTAACTCATCTTGGATTTCAGTATTGAAGCATTCATTATTCCAATGATATTGCATCAAGTCCTCGGATTTAATCTCATATTTATATTGGTGCTATCCTTCCCAATATATCTTTTTTGGCTTTACTTCAATAATTTTTACTAATCTCTAGCATTTGAAACATATAGCTATCTGACTTTTATGAACTTTGGGTCTTTGATAGCAGATATGCTCTATTTTCAACCTGTGATTTTCAAGGTATGTCCTTGTTCAAATAAACTAAAAAGGCAGTGTGTATGAAATATACTATGTCTTTCTCTAGAAAGTAACTCTTTCAAATCATCTTTATACGAATAACCCACTATTGAGGTATTTTACAGGGTCTAATAATAGCTAAATCATCGTATCTTTTTTTTAGTTTGTATATATTTTCAACACGATTATAGCTATAACTACTACATTTCATATAATATTTTTTGACATATTCCAAATTATATCTTGAACGAAGATTAATTGGTTTGGGTACTGATTTATTAAAAACCTCATCTATCTCTTAATATGTAGACCAATGCAGGCAAATTTGCCTGCATTTTTGCACTTTTTTAGCTCTGATTTACTTTTTTAAAATG